ATTCTTGCATAATTTCCGTTTGCTGCACATATTTTATTATTTGTTCATTAGTATTGTTTAATTCGCACAAAGTTAGGCATCCGGTGTCACGTATCGTGTTATTACGTGCGTTGCGAATAAATCGTTGTACCCATGCTAATATTCTGATTACCTTGGTCAATGAACTGTAATTAGTTAATAAGTTGTAAATACAATGATTGACCTCTTTGTTGTTACTGGAGTTCGATTTCGTCTGGCAAATGCTGCCTATATTTGTTGTAAAAGTGCATGTAAAATTTTCATCATCTTTTTCTTGGAAGGTGTTCAGGAATGTGGGCCCTTCCCACCACAGACTGAATGTTTTTAGTTTAGTTGGTAGCAATCCTCTTGATGCACAGTCTGCAGGATTTTCTTGTGACTTCACATAACGCCATTGCTGGGCTGGTATGATTTGTCTTATTTTTGTAACTCGATTGGCAACGTATTTTTCCCTCTTAGATATATCCCCCTGTATCCATGCCAGGACCACTTGGGAATCGCACCAAACGCTTGTAGTAATTTTGAAGTCAATTAGTGCTTCGCTGATCTTTTTGATGAGTTGTGCTAGTAGATTCGCGCCATTAAGCTCAAGTTTCGGTAATGTGATCGTTTGTGATAACGGTGCCACTCTTGTTTTCGCAGCAAGTAATGTGATTATTGGCTTGTTATGTTCATCTCTGACGCAGCTGTAAACTACGCAAGAGTAAGCCTTCTCGCTGGCGTCACAGAATCCAAACAGTTCGATGTTTTGGTTCGTTGACCCAATCCAGCGCTTGATTTTCAGGTGTTTTACATTGGGAATATCAGCTCTTAGTTTCAGCCACTTATTCGTTATATGTGACGGTAACTGGTCATCCCACCCGAGTTTATTGAGCCACACTTCTTGAAATATTATCTTCGCCGCAATAGTTATGGGTGATAGCCAACCCAAAGGGTCATAAAGTTGTGAAATTTCCGAAAGTAGTCGCCTTTTTGTTATTTCCGGTCGACCATTTTCTTCATATTTCCAGTTAAGAATAAAAGTGTCGGCATGCGGATTCCATCCTAGGCCTAAAGTTTTCGTAGATTCCTCTTGCTTGAAGTTAAAAGTGTTTCTGCGTGAGATCTGATCCTCACTTAAGTTTTCTAATAATGCTTGATCATTGCTAGACCACTTGCGTAGGTTCATCCCGGCTCCCTTAAATATGTTGATAAGCGATGTCTGGAGTTCCTGGGCCGCTTCCAGTGAGTTGTGGCCGCTTATGACGTCATCGACGTATGTTTCATTCAATAGCACCTTGGCGGCCGTGGGGAATTTATAGCCATCATCGTAAGCTAGTTGTTTGATGGTTCTCATGGCTAGCCACGGCGCGCACTTAGTTCCATAAGTTATGGTGCATAGTTGATATTCTTGCAGTTTCTCTGACGGCGTAGTTCGCCATATAATTTTCTGCAAATGTTGTTGATCTTCAGACAGCCAGATACATCGGTACATTTTCTCGATGTCAGCTGTAAAGGCGTATTTGTAAGTTCTCCATTTTGTGATAAGTTCTTGGATATCTCTTTGTAGATTGGGGCCCTTTTCTTGTAGACAGTTTAGGCTGTATCCCGACTTAGTTTTCTGAGAAGCATTGAAGACGACTCTGAGTTTCGTGGTCGTTGACTCTTCACGGAGTACTCCATGATGAGGTAAAAAACATTCGATAGTTGAAGATGTCATAGGTTTTGCTGGTTTCATATGGCCTAACTTTAGGTATTCCCAAAGGAACTCCTTGTATAGCATTTCAAGGCGGCCATTTCTTTTAAACCTTTTTTCTAACTGCAGCAATTGTGATACTGCGATCGTTTTCGATGTTCCGATCTTATTTTCATAATCTGAATGTAAAGGCATCTTCACAATGTATCTTCCATCTGAACCACGGCGGGTAGTTTCTTTGTAGTATGTTTCACACCGATCGTCTTGAGGTTGATCCGAGTTTGTTTTGGTGACGTCTTCACATTCCCAAAACTTGGTTATATCAGTCAAGTCTAGTAGTGTGACGTGACAGTTTAAAGTTTCTAGTTTTCCACACAAAATCCATCCCAGCTGTGTTTGTTGAGCAACGGGTGACCTTGGTGCTCCTTTTAATATTCCATCTAGTATTATCTCAGCGTAAACGTCAGCTCCAAGTAGTAAGTCAATAGACCTTGAAATGTTAAATTCAGGGTCCGCTAGTTTTAAGTTTTGCAAATGCGTCCAGTGTGATCGTTCGAATGTGTTATTCGGTAGTTTATTGATTAGTTTTTTCATAATCAATGCTTCAGTGTTGAAAGTATTCGGAATGGATTGATTTGCATGTTATGTTAAGGCGGCCTTTACAATCGCCTGATACACTTCCAACTCCAGATATCTTCGCTGTTAGTTTGTTTCTGGGCAGCTTAAGCAATTGCGCTGCATTTTCCGTAATTAAGTTCACTTGTGAGCCTTGATCTAAAAGCGCACGAAGAGTTACATAAGTCCCATCTACCGTTTCGACCTTGATTTGGACGGTTGTCAGTAGTGTCTCCATCTCGCTGGCAGATAGGTGATTTGAGCTTGGTGTTTCAGTTTCCCTCGAAGGTCGTTGACCTGAACGTTGGTTCTCATTGCTCGTTGAAAGTGTATTTTTATTAGAATTGTTGTAATGCAAAAGCGTATGGTGCTTCATATTACATTCCTTACAAGTTTTTGTAGAGTTGCAAGTTTTGCTTTCGTGAGTGAACAAACAGTTTTTGCATAATCGCAATTTCGCAACTATGTTGTTTCGTTGTTTTATATCCGAGTCAATAAACTGTTGACATCGCATTAAAACATGACTGTTCTTACACAGAGGGCATTGTCCGTATGAAGTATGATAAGTCTTTGGAATCCACTTCTTATGGTCGAAGTTTTTTCGAGTTCCGTGTTTTTCAGTTCCAGCCGACTTCTCCGAAATTTGGATATCTTTCTTTGAAGTTTTCATGGTTTCAAACGCCATGAATTGGTTTTCTAAGTACGTCATAAATTCCTGTAGTGAGGGAACCTCTCTACTGTCATGTAATTTCTTTATGTATTCATTGTAGCTCCCACTGTCTAGTTTCTGAGACATCAGATGGGCAATCAGGGGATCCCAACTTGCTACATCAAGCCCAATGTTTGTTAAACCATTTAGACATTCCGTGGTTACGTCATGCAGCTTCTTTAAGTTGTAAGCGTCTGGCTTCTGTATGACAGGCAACTGCATCATAGTGTTTACGTACGATGAGAATTGTAGTCGACGGTTGTCGTACCGTTGAGTTAGTATCTCCCAACATGAAGTGTAGTTGTCAGCACAAATGCTTAAGTGTTGCACCAGCCTTTCTGCTTCACCTTTCAGCTTAGTCTTCAGATGCTGCATTTTTTGAGCATTGTTTAGTGTCGGGTTTTTATGTATGGTTTCCAGGAATAGGTCTTTGAATGAAATCCATTTGCTGTAGTGTCCTGAGAATTCTGGAATCTCAATTCTTGGTGCTGAACGTTGATGATGAGCTGTGGACCACATCTTGCTTTTCAGTTGTTTTCGGATTTCGTCATATCTGTCTTCCATGTTGTTGAACTTGTCATAATATGTGTGGTTTGAACCTTTCAGTAAAGCTTCCAGTTCCCAATGAGTGTTGTCAATAGTTTCCCATTTTGACTTCAAGATTGACAAGTGATCGTCAAGTTCCCATTTTTCAGCTAAAGCATCAAAATCAATTTTTGCCATAGCCCGATCGATGGCCTTGAAGTTGCATTCCTGTTTAGTCAACAATGCCTTTGTTTTCTCATCAGGTTCTCCTTTTGACAAGTCCGATAAGTCGAATTTGACACTATCTTCAATTGTTTGAGACAGTTTTAAAATGTCTGCTTTTGTTGTTTCGTACATTAATTTTGTCTTCCCGTAGACATCTTCGACAAAATAGTTAATGTTTCGGTCTTCAATTTCTTGCATGAGCAATGTATGCCGTGCATTGAAATCCATCCATTGAGCTTCTAAAGAGGACAGCCGCTTGTTCAAGTATTCTGCTGTTTTTCTGGTTTTGCTATCCTTGTTATAATTAGTGCATAATGTTTTGATGTTTTCAAAACATGTTGATTGTAGTGACAGCTTATTCATCTTGATTATAGATGACGTTTTCTTGATGTTCAAGTTAGTTTTGAAGTGACTCGTAGTAGTTCTTCAATAGTTGTAGTTAGTTGCAGCAGTTGAAAGCTCTTCTAGTAGTCGAAGGTTCTCACTGCTCCAGAAGTTGTAGTTGGTTCCGATACTCAATGTGCCTGTCCTCTGGTTAGATATATGCGCCTTCTCAATCCAACTGGGGCGACCCGCTTGTGGGAGACCAGCTGAACCGATTCGCTACCGTACCCAGAGACACAAACACACTAAGATACGAATCCGGCTCGAAGGACCATTAAATGTACGAGTTGTAGTAGTTAACTCCGTACATTGATTTGTAGTGAAGATGAAGTTGATGTAGTGTAGAGAAACAAGTTTCACCCAGTTGCACTAAGTAGTTAGTTTATTGCAATCAAATTACAATATGAATGAAAGGCGATTATTTCTCTCAGTTGTTGATAGCTACCAAGTTATAAGTTGACTATATTTTAATTCGTTAATCACGTGGTTTTATTACGCTAAATTGTACGCGCGACTTTAGCCTAAAGTAGGTTGCCGCGTAAACAAAAAAAATGTGCGGTTGTGAAACCGTACACCAACGAAGCAAATCACCATGTACTCTAACTCTCTAAAGCTTCTCAATAAGCATATCGTGATTGATTTTGTCAAAAGCTTTAGAGAAGTCTCTGTAAACAACGTCCACTTGACCACTTGAAGTCGCTTATATAGTCGAATAGCATTGACTAGGTATTCCGTAAAATCAAGCAGATTAGTTTCCACGGATATACACTGGCAGTCAATGTGCTACTTTTGTAACAGAAATCCATTTCATCATTCGATGCAATCTAGCTTTTAGGTAAAATAAAAGACTTTTTAAAATAATGCACTTTTAATCACAGGGCGCAGGCTTCTTATTGGTAACAAAATAAATACCGCAACAACCATACTCTAGTACTAACTATAGCATCGCTACCGGCGCCGCGCGCCCGCCGCGGACCACTAGTCGCGCCACTAGTCGCGTCACCAGTCGCACTTTCAGATCACAGTATCACAGCAATGCAAGGGCCGAGAGGTCCGAGGCGAGCTCAGCGCGCCATATTACACACTAACGATAGTCAGGGTTACATGTTCCATGTAATGGCTTACTACAAACTAAAACACATACATACGTATATGTAGGTCGCTCGCGACACGAGTCGCCCGCGACGGAATGTATCACAATCGGCGAGCCGGGCTCGACAGTACTTACATACGTACAATAAATAGAGTATCATGTTATAGCTATATACACAATTTTACTCCTCGCACTAATTTTATACTCTAACCCCGCAAATATATGTAGAACGGCGCGACCTCGGGGCGGCGCTAGTGCGCCAGCAGGTCGGACAGGTGCGCGGCGATGGCGGCGGCGCCCGCGCCCGCCAGGATGGACCGGTGCGAGCCCGCCAACTGGCGCGTCTGCAGCGGGCCCGCGCAGACCGCGCGCAGCCCGTAGTCCTCGTCCAGCGCCACGTAGTTGTCGCGCGCCGTGAACAGCGTCACGGGCGCCCGCAGGCGGCCCGCGGGCTTGTACGTGTCGGCGATGACCAGCTTGCGGTAGAACGAGCCCGCCGCCGCCGCCAGCGCCGCCGCGTCGTGCGGCCCCGCCGCCGCGCCCACCAGCTCCGTCGTCCGCGCCAGCCGCGCCTCCCAGCTCGGCAGGCGCTCCAGCTCCGCCGACACCTGCGCACGGGCCCGTCAGTACCTCGCCAAGCGCCATGGCGCGCGGCCCGTCTGTACCTCGCCAAGCGCCATGGCGCGCGGCCCGTCAGTACCTCGCCAAGCGCCATGGCGCGCGGCCCGTCAGTACCTCGCCTCAATCGTGACGGACAGACGGACACACTTACCTTTGTCGCGTCCACGTCCTTGAACAGCTGCACGAAGTATGCGAGCGCGTCGGCCTCGTCGGTCTCGGCGGAGCGGGTGGCGCGCTTCTTCTTGCCTCGCGTGGTATGCGTGGCCACGTAGGCCGGGGACCCGTCCACCAGCACCAGCCGCGTCTCGCAGCCCGCCTGCCGACACAGCGCGCTCAGTCTCCACTCGCAAGTATAGCGTGGACTACGTCGGACCGAAACGATCCTCATAATATCCGGGAGTCGAACCCGAGACAGTCACACACGCGTCTACTCCGTCAACGAGGCAGTACCGAGGCTTTACCTGCTCCAGCTGCAGCGCCATCTCGAAGGCGACGCCGGCGCCGAACGAGTAGCCCAGCAGCGTGTAGGGCGGGCGCGGCTGCTGGGCGCGCAGCGTGGCCACGTAGTGTCGCGCCAGCGCCGCCATGTCGGCCAGCGGCGCCGCCGCCGTGCACTGCAGGCCGAACACGGGCGCGCGCACGGCCGCCGCCAGCCCGCGCAGCATGTCCACCACGCCCTCGATGGGGTGCACCATGAACACGGGCCGCTCGCCCGCCGCCGCGCTCGGCAGCTTCACCAGCGCCTGCTTGGGCATGAGCTCGCCCAGCGCCGCGAACTGCGCCTGCGCGCCGGCCGCGTCCGCTCCCGCCGGCTCGCTGGCGGCCGGCTCCCCGCCCGCGGCGTCGTCGCCGCCCGCCATGCCGCGCAGCTTGGAGAAGGTGAGCGCGCGGATCTCTTGCACGCCTAGCACCACGTCGTAGCCGCGTTCCAAGGTCTGCTTGATTTCGGCGCCCATGAGCGAGTCCATGCCTAGCTCGGCCAGGTTGGCGGAGTCCGACACCTTGCTAGGATCCTTGATGCCGAGGATGTTGGCGACGGCGTGCAGCAAGTCCTGCTGCGGCGCGGCGGTCGCGCGGCGCTTGTCCGCCAGTACCATGGACGCCGCCACGGCGTGCGGCAGCGCCAGCAGCGCGCCCAGCGCCTCCATGCAGGACGCGATGCGCTGCGGCACGGTGCCGCCGACCACGGCGTCGTCGCCGCCCATGGTGTCCACGATGAGCCCCACCTCGCCTGCAAGCACGCGCGCTGTAGCGGCGGCCGGGCCCCCGGGGCGGGCGGGGCCCGACGCCGCACTCACCGATGGCGCCCCACTGCACGGCCAGGCCGGGCAGGCCGTCGGCCTGGCGCTGCTCCATGATGCGCTCCATGGCGGAGTTGGCGAGTCCGTAGTTGCTTTGGCCGGCGTTGCCGCGGCCGCAGGACACGGACGAGAACACCACGAAGTACTCCAGCTCCGGCGCCAGCTCGCGCGTCGCCGCGTCCAATGCCTTAGTCGCTGTTTGCAAATTACTTTACATTATTCCCTCATTGCATTATACATACATACATATATATATTAGCGGACCCGAGAGACGTTGTCCTGCATATCCACTTGAATGTATATTGCACGTGAATTGGATCGCTCGATTCCCTACAAAATGGATGAGTTGGGCGGTCCAAGGTCCTGGGCCTTTAGCCAAACGCCACTTTAGCGCTTGTCTACAGAGAGAGTAGAAATCAAAATGTATGGGGATGACACTGACAAGTGTCAAAATTTACGTCAATTCCATATAATTTGGTTTTCTATTCTAGATGTAAACACGCGCTAAATGGCATTTGGCTACAGCTGCTGGTGTACGTGTCATCTTCGTGAACGGGTGCCGTAAATTGGGACTGGTCAGCTCCAAACTGTATGATTTTATTTACATTTAGGTGTTGCATTGTTCTCACACAATCAAACCAACAAAACCAAGTTTTGTTGAGAGAATTGTATTGTAATCCCGATTGAAAAAGAGTATCCGAGTAACCTATGGAATTTCTTGCTCGTTCTTCTCCATAGGAATCTACTCCTTGGAATGAACAACTAGCTTCTCTTCTAAATTTTTTTGTTGTTGGCGTTCAATTTCTAGTCTATTTGAAATAAATGATTTTGACTTTGACTTTATAAATTTTTTGAAGTATTTTACGGTATAAAAGGTACCTATTGTGTTCTGAAATGTATTATAATGTAACTAGAGGTTTGCCCCGGCCTTGGTTGGGTGCGATTTGTCGATTTTTTCTTTTCATTTTACTTGCAATAATTGTAGGATTGTGGCAGATGTCGTCACTACCTTCATCCAAATATATACCGGGGTGCCAAATAGGCAACGTTAAGGTGGTAAAGCTCACCATCGATCTTGGGTTTGGCGACGGCCTGGAAGTCTGCGGGCGTCTGCTTGTCGATGAAGGCGTCCCTCAGCACGGCGGCCAGGTTGAAGACGCCGCCCACGGGGCCCAGCGCCGCCGCCTCCTGCAGCAGCGCGCGCGCGCCGGCCGGCGTGCTGGCGTCGGCCGTGCTGACGGCGACGGCGACGCCGGCGGCCCGCCAGCGCCGCACGCAGGCCGCCTGGTAGCCCGTGCGCAGCCCGCCGCGCGAGTTCAGCACGAGCCGCGTGGCGCCGCGCCGCACCATCCACTGCGCCAGCTCCAGGCCGAAGCCGCCGGTGCCGCCCACGAGCACGTAGGAGCGCGCGGGGTGCATGTAGGTGCGCGGCAGGGCCCCCAGGAGCTTGCTGGCCGGCCGGGCCCCCGCCGCCTCCTCGTCGCGGACGCGCAGCACCACCTTGCCGATGTGCTTGCCGGTGGCCATGTACCTGCGGACGCGTCATGGATATATGGTCATGGACGGCGCTACGGTAACGACAGGTAATCGAATGTGTCCCGCGACGTACCGGAAGGCCTGCTCCAGCTGGTGGTCGGAGAAGACGGTGGCGGGCAGCGGCTGCACGGCGCCGGCCGCGATGCCCTCGGTGACGCAGCGCACCACGGCCGCCTTGTCACTGTCCGCGCTGTCCGCGTCGAACAGCGCGTCCAGCAGGATGCCGTGGAACGTCGTGTTTTTCAGGAAGATGGACATGCCCTGCGCGGAACCCAAACGTGAGCTATCTGTCGCACCCGTCGCACAAGTCGCGGCGTCCCCTCCCCACTCACCAGCGCCGTGTCGTTGGACAGGTCCAGCTTGCCTATCTCTAGGAAGCGGCCGCCCTCGGCCAGGCAGCGCACAGACGCGTGCAACTTGTCAGCGGCCAGAGAGTTCAGCACCAGGTCCACCCCGCGCCCGGCCGTGCGCCGCTTCACGAGCTGCTCGAAGGACGTGTCACGCGAGTTGCCGATGTTCTCGGCCGGCAGCGTCGGGAAGCGCTGGCGCAGGAAGGCGCGCTTGTCCGGCGTGCCCACCGTCGTGAAGACGCGGCAGCCCGCGTGCAGCGCGATGGCCAGCGCGGCCTGCCCCACGCCGCCCGTGCCCGCGTGCACCAGCACGGACTCCCCGCGCCGCATGCGCCCGCGCACCACCAGCGCGTAGTACGCGGTGGCGTACGCCACGGGCACCGTGGAGGCCTGCTCCAGCGTCCAGTCGCGCGGCACTTCCCACAGGAAGCCGCGGTCCGCCAGCACGGTGCTGGCCAGGCCGCAGGCGGCCACCATGCCCATGACGCGCCGCCCGTCCGACGAGCGGCCGCTGAACTCCAGGCCCAGGATGCACTCCTGGCCTGCCAGGTTGCCGGGCAGCGCGTCTGGCGGCAGCTTGCCCGTAGCCAGCATGATGTCGCGGAAGTTGAGCGGCGCGCAGTACACGCGGCACAGCTCCGTGCGGGCCGGCAGCGGCGTCGCCGCCGCGTACCGCAGCGGGGACTCGATCCACCGCAGCGACGACAAGTCGCCGCGCGTCAGCGTGTTCACGTACGCGTGCTCCACCTGCGCCAAACTCTCGTCAGCCCGGGCCCCGCGCTCGCGGGACCACGGCCAGTATGGTACGCACCTGCAGCTGCGCCTCGGCCGCGCCCAGCTCCAGGTGACGGTAGGAGCCCCAGACGCCGGCGCGCAGCACGTTGAAGGCCAGGTCGCGCTCCACCTGCGCGGCGTAGGCGGGCGCGTCGGGGCGGAAGGGCTCGCGCGCGCCCGGCAGGTAGTAGCAGCGCAGCGCGCGGCCGCCCGCCTCGGCGCGCAGGCACGTGCACAGCCCCAGCACGCCGGCCGCGGCCGCGCGCGCCACGCAGTACACGCGCAGCTCCGGCTCGTGCTCGGCGCGCGCCAGCGCCGTGCGCAGCGCCTCCACCCACGGGAAGCCGCGCTCGTCGTCCACGTCCAGCACCACGTGCGCCGCCGGGCCCGGCCGCCGCCGCCGCAGCAGCACGTACTCGCAGGCGGCGGCCCGCTGGCGCGCCAGGCACTGCAGCCCGGCCGCCGCCAGCATGTCGCCCGCGCCGTCCAGCGCGCGGTGCGGCTCCTCCAGCAGGATCATGCCCGACTCGGCCAGCGCGGCCGCCAGGTGTCCCAGCGTGGCGGCGCCGTGCCTGCTCAGCACGTCGGCGGCCAGCACCAGGTGGCACTCGGAGTCGATGGGTGTGGTCTTGCCGTCCTTGGGGTTGACCTTGACTCCCAGCTCCTTGACGGCGGCGGCGTAGGGCGCGGGCGCGGGCCCGGCCGCCAGGGACGCGTCCACACGCACCTGCGGCTCGGACTCCAGCACCTGCATGGCTAGCGGCGTCAGCAGGGCCTCGGCCGGTCGGTCCAGGGCCGCCTCGGCCAGCTTTAGCTTGATGGAGCCCGCGTTCTCCAGCACCAGCTGCAGGCTGACGGTAAGCGCGTCGCGCTTGGAACGCGAAGTGTCCTCGGTGCTGATGGTGGCGTTGTCGTACGGCATGAACACGTACTTCTCCAGCTTGGGCGCGGCCTGCGCGTTGGCGCGGCGCGGTGCCAGGCTAGTCTTGACGCCGCGGAACTCGACGCCGCCGGCGCGGATGACGTCCAGGTCGCGGTACATGCGCACGTCCAGCAGGGCGGGCTGGCCCGCCGCCGCCACGGCCGCCAGCTGGGCCGCCGGGTCGATGAGCACGCGCTGCAGCCGCGTGGGCAGGTACAGCTCGCGCGTGTCGATGCCGATGATGCCGAACTGCAGCATGGTGTCCATAAAGGAGATCCAGTTGTCGTCCCAGGCCAGCTGGCCGGCGGTGCCGCGCGGGTCGGAGCGGCGGATGCCGCGGAAGATGCCGCCGTAGTTGTACCCGCGCAGGCGCAGCTCCTTGTAGATGTCGTCGGTGACGAGCGGCGGCAGGTCCTGGTCGGGCGCCGGCTCGTCTTCCAGGTCCCGCAGGCGCTCGGCGGCCGGCTCGGACGCCAGGCGCACGTGGCCAGTGACGACGACGGCGCCGCCCTCGCAGACGTCGAACTCGCCGGTGCCGTCGAGGATGTTGATGAGGAAGCGCACGGGCGTGTCGCGCGACACGATGGTGGCGCGTCGGAACTGAATGTTCTCCATCACTATCGGAGTCTCCTCGGGTTTCTTGTTGTGGAGCTTCGCCATGGTCCTCCACACCAGGGTCTGTAACGATAGCTCGGTGAGACACGAGTTGGAACTCGGACCGACGTTCAGTTGAGCAATGCAATGAGCAGGGAGCACTGACCAGGTAGCCGGTGGCGGGGAAGAGCACGCGGCCGTCGATGTTGTGTCCCGTGATGAAGCCGTCGTCGGGTCGCGACACGTCGTACTCGATGACGTTCTCCCCGGAGCGCGACGCGTTCCCGAAGTGCGCCACGCTCCACTCCAGCGAGTGGTCCCAGCGCACGTGCGACGCCAGCCCCGGCGTGCCGCGCGGCACCGGGAACGGCACGGCCGGGTACAGCGCGCCCACGGCCGGCTGCGCGCCCGCCGCGTACAGGCGCCCGGCCGCCGCCAGCAGGTGCTGCAGCGCGTCGGCGGCGTCGCGGCGCACCAGCGGCACGTGCGCGGCGCCGGGCAGCGCGCGCTTCAGCACGGCCTGCAGCAGCGCGTGCGGCGCCACCTCCACCAGCAGCGCGCGCTCCGGCACCGAGCGCAGCGCGTCCGCGAACCGCACCGGCGACAGCAGGTTGTTCACGTGGTAGTTGGCGTCGCTCAGCTTGGCTGCGGGGTGGGTGCCATTGTACTACCTGCTACGTGGGACGCGAGCGTCTTTCGCACATGTACTGCGGGACCACTCACCCAGCTCAGAGTCCCACTTGTCCCGCGGCAACGAAGAGGACACCCAGCGCTTGGTACGCGGCTTCGGATCCGTGATGATCTTTTCCAGACTGCGGCGCAGCAAGGGAGCGGCGGCGGCGATGTATTTGCTGTGGAAGGCGACACCCGAGCTGTTGACGCGACGTGCGAACGTACCCTCCGCCGACAACGCGGCCACGAACTTCTCCAGCGACTCTACGGGCCCTGAAATCTGTAAAATCCGAGCCATTATAATTAAGATCGCGAGGCGCGCGAATGTGTCGCAAAGTTCGTCGGGACACCGACCGTGACGCTGTCGTTGGAGTTGTGGCAGGCCGGCACCACGTCGGCCGGGCAGCGCGCCTCGCACTCCTCCCAGGACAGGCCCACGGCCGCCATGGCGCCCGGCGCCAGCTTGGCGTCCACGATGCTGCGGCCCCGCCAGTAAGCCGCCAGCACGGCCTGCTCCGCGGTCAGCGTCTCGTCGGCGTAAGCGCAACCTGCAAGCACGAAAGCGTTCAGTCCCGCACCTTGCGCCAGCCCCGCCAGCCCCGCCCCGCCGTACTGCCGACGACTACTGACCGATCTCTCCCACCGAGTGGCCCACGATGCCGTCGGGGCGCACGTCGAGCGCGCGCAGCACGTCCACCAGCGCGACCTGCACGGCGGCGATGGACACGAAGGAGTTGATGACGTCATTGAAGGCCTCGGCCGGCGCCTCCGTGATGATGTTGACGAGGTCGATGCTGTGCGGGCGCAGCGCGGCTGCAGAGCGCGTTATGCTGGCCGCGAAGACCGGCAGCTGCATCAAGGCCTTAGCCATGCCGGGCCACTGCGAGCCCATGCCGGAGAATACGAACCACACGGGCCGGGGCTCGCCGCTCTCTACTTCCTGTACACACAACCGACGACAGGTTAACCCGCTATCACATTGCGATCGTATCCACGAATGGCTAATTGCAAAAGAGCAGTATTAATGATATAATGAACAAAGACCCGATCAACAGAAGGGCTCACTCACGGCGCACTCGTGCAGGGGCGGGTCGGACAGCACGGCGAACCCGCGGTGCGAGTGTCCGGGGATGTTGTGGCGGTGCACGGCGTCCAGCAGCGCGTGCAGCGCCGCGTCGTCCCGGTGGCGCGCCGCCAGCTCCGTCAGCGCCGCCACGGCCTCCTCCGTGCGGCCCGACGCCAGCACGACGCGGGGCACGCCGCGCGCCCGGGCCGCGCGCGCCGGGCCGCGGGGCTCCGACTCCAGGATGACGTGTGCGTTGGCGCCTCCGAAGCCGAAGGAGTTGATGGCCACGAGGCCGCCGTCCCACTCCGTGTTGCGATCCACGACCTGCCGATGACTTGCGTGAATATCTGTGTCTGCCCTACGCGGAGCGGCGCTCGCTTCGCTCGGACGCTTACCTTGATCTTGCCGTCGTTGAGTGCCGGGATGTCGGGGTTGGGGCTCTTGTAGTGTAGGTTGCCGGGGATGACGCCGCGCTCCATGGCCACGATGACCTTGGCGACGGAGCACAGGCCGGACGCGGGCTCCGAGTGACCCATGTTGGACTTGACGGAGCCCAGCAATAGTGGCCCCTTGCGCCCCTTGCAGAACAGTTCTGCGATTGCGTTCACCTCTTGAGGATCTCCCACCTGGTAAACATTTAATTCAATCGTGTTTACAGGATGTCCCTGGAAGTATGGGTGAATGGAACAGGGGCGTAGAATAATAGCATTTATATAAGATTAACAGTATAACTTAATGGCGTAAGCTATGGTGTTATATATGTACATTTCATAAATAGAAGAGGTCAGACGTCCCTAACTTTTTGCTCTAGAAATGGGGGTCCGGTTCTTAACGGTTCAAAGATATGAATGATCCCGCTACGAGAATTTTCCTTTCCTAACAGAATGTCTAGGGCATTGAGTCTTCCATTCACTGTAATTTTGTATGAAGACGAAGTAAATATTCCGTTTTGTTCAATGATGTCCTATTAAGTTCAAAAAACCGATCACAAACAAAAAACTATCGAGAATATCAATGTAATTTTTATTTTCAGATAACCATAACATGCATTTTATTAATAAGTCGCTTCGAATTTTCATGAAGAATATTTACACTAGGGAGGAAAGTCACCGCTGTATCAGAAAACTTTCACCATTCATTCAGACCATTTGGAGGTATGAATCACGAGAATATTCTCAATAGAGTATTGTTAAAGAGGACACGTCGTTATTTAGTAACCAATTCAGTTTTGAAATGTTCTTTATTTCAGCTGCTACCAATTTAATTTTAGTTTCCGGACATTGGTCATCATTTTATACAATACTGTGACATAGTTTAGGCAGAAATCTGGAATTCTGGAAACTGAAATTTTATTGATCTGAATGTAACTAAAATAAACAACATTTTGAAAACAAGTAAGTTGCTAAATTACGACGTCTTCGTTGATAAAAATCTCTAACTCCTAAACTAATTACAATATCCTTGTGATTCATTCGTCCAAATAATCTGTATAAATGTTACTAGTTATTGTGATACATGGCCAACTTTCCCTAGAGTAAGACTTTTCGCACAATTGTAAACATTACCTTTGAAGCGATTTTTTAATTTTGTTTTTTGAGTAAAATTATGATGATAACAAAGATCCACTCTTTTAGAAGTCTGGACATAAAAATTACATTGATACACTTGTTTCACATTTTATATAGTTTCTAGAATTCGATTGTGGTGTCTACGATTTGGAAATAGAGTGTACACCACGCTCAAATGTATTGGGCCACTCGCTTACTTCACAACGCAAGTCTTTAGCAATGCCTACATCAGTGCCTGAAGCCAAAGTCAAATATTATTATTTATTTCAATTAGACAATATTATATAGGCACTTTTAACGTCAAACACATTTCTCCTTCTAAAGTTTAGCAGTGTAGAATAGTAGCATAAGAACTCGCAATAAGTGTATCAACTATAGATATAGTCACTTATTTTGTAAGAAAAACTTTACCTTAGTGCCCGTCCCGTGGGCCTCGACGTAGACAACGTCGCTCGGACGCAGCTTGGCTTCGGCGAAGGTTTCCTCGGCGAGGCGGCGCTGCATGTCACCGGAGGGGAAGGTGATGCCCTGGTCCTTGGCGCCGTCCGTGTTGACGCGCAGGCCGCGCAGCGTGGCGTACACGCGCCGCGCCGCGCCGCGCCGCTGCAGCAGCACGGCCACGGCCGCCTCCGAGCGCACGTACCCGCGCCCGCTCGCGTCGAACGCGGCGCAGCGGCCCTCGGGTGACAGCATGCTCAGGCGGTGGAAGTTGAGCGAGTTGGCGGGCTTCAGGCACAGGTTGGTGCCGGCCACGATGGCCGCGTCGCAGTGGCCCGCGCGGATGGCAGTGGCGGCCTGCGCCAGCGCGAACATGGAGCTGGAGCAAGCCGTGTCCACCGCGAACGAAGGCCCCTTCAGGTCGAACGTGTACGAGATACGGTTCGGGAACATGGCTCGGCAACAGCCGGTCAGCGCGTATCCGTTGATCTTGTCGGGGTCCACGGTCCACATCTCCTCGGTCTCGGAGTTGGACACGCCCACGTAGACGCCGGTGCGCGAGCCGCGCAGCTCGCTGGGGTTGATGCCGGCGTCGATGATGGTCTCGTGCGTGAGCTCCAGCAACAGTCGCAGCTGTGGGTCCATGAGGTGAGCCTGCTTGGCGTGCACCCCGAAGAACGTGGCGTCAAAGTGTGCCAGGTCCTTGAGCTTGCCATTTCGTTCCGGTAGACCGTGCAAACCTGTCACAATCGACCCACTAATTACCAAGAATCGTATATTTTAATCTTATACTAAGGTAGGATCGCCAAAGATGGCCCGCTTCTTAAGATGGTCCACTTAAAAAAAATGCAGTTATGAAGATCTGATACATTTGAAACTTCGTAGGTTTATGCTAATACCGCCCTATACAAAAGTGGAAGTAAAATATCTCTCACGTGTACTGACAGTTATTATTTTACTTCTCGTTTTATACACTCTCCTCAGGTGTATTCGCCTAAGATGGCCCACCTGGCCTACTTTTTTAAATGTCTTGATCGTTAAGTAAGTACGTATATTACAACCTCCAATTTGTTTTGTCTCTATTTATCTGCAAGATTGTACGAGGTTCTGAAACAAGGCCTTATGTAAGGCGACTGTACCCTGTTATTAGATAAACCTACAGAGTTTGATTGTTGAACGCGCTAATCTCAGGAACTACAGTTACGATTTGAAAACATATTTTTATGTTGGATAGCCATCAATTCATCGAGGAAGGCTATAAAACATCACGCCACGATCAATAGGAGCCGAGCAGAGCGGGAGAACCATCGCGGGAGAAGGTAGTCTATATATATAAAATTCAAAGGTGATTGACTGACTGACTGACTGACTGACATAGTCAACGCACAGCCCAAACCGCTGGACAGATTGGGCTAAAATTTGGAATACAGATAGATGTTATGACGTAGGCATCCGCTAAGAAAGGATTTTGATAATTTCCACCCCCAGGGGGGTAAAAAAGGGGATGAAAGTTTGTATGAAGCTTTGTCAGTTTTTAACTGATCGGGTTGAAATTTGGCATGCAGATAGATGTTATGACGTAAGCATCCACTGTGAAAGGATTTTGATAATTTCCACCCCCAAGGGGGTAAAATAGAGGATGAAAGTTTGTATGAGACTTTGTTAGTTTTAAACCGATCGGGTTGTAATTTGGCATACAGATAGATGTTATGACGTAACCATCAGCTGTGAAAGGATTTTGATAATTTCCACCCCCAAGGGGGTAAAATAGGGGATGAAAGTTTGTATGGGACTTTGTCAGTTTTACACCGATCGGGTTGAAATTCGGCGTGCAGATGGATATTATGACGTAAACGTCCCTTTAGAAAGGTTTTTGAACATTCTCACCCCAAAGTATGATACTTTGCCAGTTTTAAATTGAGCGGGCTGAGACTTTGCATGCATAAATTTACTATGACATAGGTATCTCCTTAGAAAGGATTTTGATAAATTCCACCCCCAAGGGGATAAAATAGGGAATGAGATCTTGTATAAATCTTCTTAGCCATTGAATTTAGAATCATTGATTCTTTTTGAATTAAATTCGGTAAAACGATGATTTGGGACCTGGGTAACGTATGATAGTTTTTCCACAGATGTCTCACGAGAACGGGAACTATGCGTCAATGCCCCAGGACTCTCTAACTCTTAACCACTGAACTTATTCTAGAGAGATTAGGTACAACAATAGTCGATAGAATAGTTTTTATTACTCAAACCTTACGTGATCGGGCACTGTACTGGTAAGATCCCTGCGGGATTATTTATTTATTGAAACTACGATAAATAATTTCAAAATAGGTAAATCTTACTTGGGCACTGAATTGATTCTGGTTAATTCTGTCAGAAGTCATTAATCTACGCGGACGAAGTCGCGGGCAACAGCTAGTATAATATAATATCGTAATTTGTACCACAGGACAATACTCTAAGGATGACTTCCCGTAGGAATTTAAGGTTTTTTTTCTGTCGTAAGAACCTTCTCCTGACAATAACAAACAACAAAAAAAAAAGATCAGCCAAATCGGTCTAGCCGTTCTCAAGTTATGGCGTGACAACGAAAAACGGGTTTCTTTTTTATATATATGTATTTTTTATTTTCGGAATAAACAAATTCATCGTCTAAACCACTAAATACGTGTTGTTTGTACCTAATTGAGGTCCTTAAATTGTATCACCTACATAGTGTGTTACAGGTCGACCTAATAAAAGCGTGGTAAAAAGCATTTCATATTTTTCAAAACTTTTTATTCACCAAAATAAAAAAAAATAAAGTAATTCGACCTTTAAGCTCTATTTCATTAATATTATGGTATTAACCTTATTTATATATATAGGTACGTTAAACTGTGCAACTACCCAACAAGGCTAGTAGACCATTTAAGTTATGAGTGTACTGTTTATGCCTCGACTCTCGATTATGTTCCCTTTGGTAGATAATATCTTTACATCAGTAATCTCGACACCCACTGAAAGTCAAGCTTCAAATATAATGACAAGCAAGTGTGGGAGAGCCATGCTTCGGCACGAATGGGCCGGCTCGACCGGAGTGATGCCACCAACGAGCAGAAAACCGACGTGAAGCAACGCTTGCGTTGTGTTTCGTCGTGTGAATAAAGTTATCTAAGCAGTGGTAATGGTAATTATATTTATCATAATTAACAGCTCCATGTCGGTATCACTTTCAGGTTTCAGGTAACTTGTTCCATGCGTCACTCCTGTGTTAAGAACTGGTCGAGCCGAGTGCCTCACTCCGGATATCGACTCATTACATTAGTCGAATGTAGTTGTTTATCAGCGAGCTATCTAAACACTCCGTCTGACGTCACACGCGTGCGGAAACCTCACAAAGTCAATATTTTCCTGGTAGCACGATGACATAATAACTGATGACAGGTTTGACGAGTAAGATCTCTGTTAGCAGAGAGAGATAGGTAGCGGCGAGGTGAGCGTGTGTGCGTGGCGGCGGTGACGCACGCCGCATCACGCCACCGCGCCACTACAAGTACAGACAGACTGCGCGCAGCGCGCACTCACTGCCAGTCACTGGCTCGCTCACTAACTGACTAGTCGCTGCCCGCCGCCGGTACTGCGGTTACTGCGGTGGCTCTGGTCTGGTGCCGGTCACACTAGACGTCGCGCAATCCGCACAATTGGTTAAGCGTGCCAATAAATGTGAGCGACGCGAGCGCGACTGTCCAGATAGCACTAAATCATTAAATCAGGAGATTTAACGCAAACAGTACCGAACTACCGACACGTGCGCCTCCATGCGCCTCGCACTCGCCCCACGCGACACTATGTGCCCTGTGTAGGTAACTGGGTAAAATGACAATATGTGACCAATGCCCTGCTCTCGACTCCTGAGCACTTTATACAACTAAATGTTTTTAGGCAATAGGTATCTGTGAGTCGGTACCTACTACCAAGTCTGCCTGTCTACACGACACAAACTAGTATAGATTAAGAATATTTATAACACAATTTAAAGTTTTAATTTGTTACTAACAATTATTGTTACTGACAACAGTACAACACTGATAGGACAGTTATTTGAAATAAATGATTGGAATTTATAAATATAATTAACTTTTCTAATTTTGTTCATGAACTTGCTTCTGCTCACTGCTTGGCTCGCGCTTTTTTAAATAATTGGGAGTAGGTTTACAAAAGAAATAAATGAAATGGTGCACGAAATTTTTGTTGGTCACGAATACAACTTCCACCCTCCCATTTAGAGAAGTGAGGGGTTAGACAGACGGAACTCTATATTTTAAACTACTGAACCTGAAACCTATTTGATTGAAATTCGGTATAACGATAGTTAGAGACACTGGCTCTGGAAAGTACCTACATATATCCGGAAATCCCACGATACAGGAAAAATGCTTTAAAATTCCGTTAAACCTCTGGGTCTCTATCTTTTTAGCCATTGAACCGAGTTGAGTGGAATCCGGTACAACAATGGTTTGCAACCCGGGAAAGGACATAGAATAGTTATTAACACTGAAACCTCACGGGAACGGGCACTATACACTATACAGGTATAACCACACACAGGGGTTTAACAAAACAAACAATCGTGTGATTGTTTGTTTTGTGAAATCACGAAAATGAATTCATTTCACAATAAATATAACTTAGACATTGAATCGATTCTGGTGAGATTTGTTACAAAGCATTGGAATTTCCTAACCTCGAAAAAAAAAGTAAAAAAAAAACAAAATTCTGCCAGAAATCATTAGGTATATGTATGCGGATGAAGTCGTGGAGAACAGCTGCAAAAGAAGAATTAATAATATCAATTAATATAATTTCAACAGACTTTTGGGATAAATTTTAATAAACAACGCGATTTGGTACAGTCAGATAAGAAAGCGTTACTTCATTATTTTGGTGGCTTTATACTGATTCCTTGCGCCAGCAAGGAGGAGAAGGCATGTGTAATGTGTATACGCCACCACATGGACCCAGAGGGATTTCATTACGTATTATATTCTGCAATATGTTTGAGTACATACCGGTCAAACCCGATTTCAGGTCAAACTAGTTTGGTCTAGGCTATACTAGTTCAAGGCGATGGGCTTCTATTTCTGTCCCAATAGTAAAAATATAGTTTAAGTAATAAATTATTGATAGGTACCTATTAAAATGTGTAATTTCAGACAGTGTCCCAATTTTTTTTTGTGGGAAATGCATTTTTGTTTAAGTTCATTGTTAGAATGTTCATTCATAATAAGATGTTAGTTAGCTACCTATTTCGAATGATAATCATTATAGTGCCAATTGTCCATCGCTATGTCACGTGGCTGTTCACGTAAACTTGATGCATATCAGTATTTGGGTAAAATGATGACGCAATTCTAAAAGCCATGAGAAAAAATACTTTGGTACCTACAACACATAATACAAGATATAGCAGCCTTGTTTACTCTCAATTTTCTCACGATATTGTTATCACCCATTTCATTATTTTATTATTAACTAAGTAACAATGTAACATTTATGTTATTTACTAGCTTACTGGCTGGATACCAAATTTCATCAAAATAGTAGTTTTAGCGTGATTGACAGCGTTGTAGGTGTCGTCTATTATTTAAGAAGAAGTAGCCGCAAGTAAAGGTAATCGCCAGTCAGTCCGGCGATCTGCAGATAGCCCGTGTGCCGTGTCACACGCCATTTGTTCATTTGACCACGACACTTCCGTAACATCTCGCCGCGCGATCAATGGAGCGAGATCACCCTACTAAGTGCTGCTCTAACGACAGAACTATCATACTTGTTTAGTGTTTACGTACTGGCTCCTACACTTATACAAACGTCGTCATGGCTGCTTTGTTTGTCTTCTCTCAACTGAACGTATAGGTAATTTTAATTATTATCTATTTGACATTTGACGTTAAAGCATTATAAGTGTTTAATTTATTTATGACCTTCGAACGCCTTAACACCACGAAAGATTTATTTTAAGTACCTACCTAGGTAGGTAAGTTCAGTTTTGGTGAAATACGAAATCTTCTAGAAATGTAAGAATACATGTAGAGGCGGCTGAGTCCCGTCTGGGTCCCGAATGTCGCGCATTGCCCCAACGTGCTACAAGTGTAAGTGAGCGTGCGGCGCTGTGGTGCATTGAAGTCAATATCTGTAATTTCGGTGATATATTGAGCAATCACCGCGCGACCCGCGGGTCAGCAGCTGTGCACAGACTATAGCAGCCACTGTACTAGCACGCCCGCGGCACCGGCGCCGCACTGCTCTTCCATGCGCACGCGCACAACCATTCACCTGATGCGATTTTTCAGGAGGAAGTCGCAAGAACAAGTACCTTGAGTTGTGAACCTGTTATTAAATGTCTTCACGTATGTACCGTATTAGTAATTTGTTCCTCGTAAATAATAAAATGGTAACTAATGCTTAAGTTAGTCATACACAGGGAACTCGAGTCGAGGCGACCCACATTCAGCCTTACACCTATTGCAATCACGGAGCACATCCTCCGTCCTCCAGGTCATCATCATGCAGCTTAATATGCAATAATTAAGCACGTATTTACTTTCTGTAAATCTGTTAACTTTTAAGATACTTATTTAAGTATACAGCATTGAGACGAAACGTTTAGCAAAGTGCACGAAAGGCATTTTGTGTTATGCACGTACATACGATCATTCATATGATATTATAATCTCCCTAGCCACCACTTATCAACAGTTTACCTACATCATACGAATCATCGATATCAAATCATCTTATAAAACCAGTTCAAACTACGTTCGCGCAATTCGAGTTTTTAAAGTAGGTACAATATTTATATTGGTACTGATACTGATAACCAGCAAGCTAAAAGAAATACATAAGTAAATACAGTGATAACGTATCACTGTTATGAAATAATATGCAGTCTTACCTGGCGTCCATCGTCTATCGTCTGCGGTGACCAGATCTACGCCGTCGAACAGCTGCTGTGCGAACTCCTCGATAGTATCAGACTCGGGTAGGCGGCCCGACAGCCCCGTCAGCACGATGTCATCCTCCGCACCCCTGGTCCCGTTGGTCACAGCACTCGGCATGGCAGTGTCTCAGCAGGAGTTATCTGCAACAGAGCACTGCTAGAGTACGCGTCGAGTCACCCGCGCTCGCGCCCGGACCCGCCTGCAGCGCGCACGTCGCTCACCTTCACAGACTAATGTCACAGCTAATGTGGAGCTCCGGCCCAGTTCCGACTTCACTGTCGTTTCAGTACCAAGTGTTACTTTTGGGTATATAAGTATAACGCACGGCCGGAACGGAAGGTGCGTGATACGCGCGAGGAGCGTGCGAGCCGAGTGATGCGGCGGCGGTGCGACACGCGGTTAAAAGGGCGCGATAGCGGGGTCGCGGCCCGAAGCGTCACGTTTCCACAAGACCCCGAACCCGCGTTATCTCGTCGCAAGGACGGACAAGGTCGCCGTGTTCTTCCTCCTTAAGAAAGTTACTCATTGCTGCTAAAACTACTCCCGGCCTTTTTGGATATAAGCGACTACAGCACCAGTACCCACGAGAGGAGCGTCTTCCGAGAGATGTGCAGTTAACACGGTTGCAACGCGAGTCCGCTTCGACCTCAGAGTGTTCCCTCTATCTAGAGAGGTCGATCTAGTGACCTCTCGATTAAATACGCAAATAATCATAATCTGAAGTGTAAATCACGCGCCGAATCATAATTATTACACCGTTAGTGACTATCAATTTATCAATTTGAATAAGTTTTTATTTTAAAGGAAATGTATGTTTTGATGATTGCAAGCTACCTGCAGCTTGAATTTGGATTATCTTAAAGTTTGGTGATCCCTGGATGCAGAGCTGAACTCTGCGAGCCGTGCGCAGACGCAGTGCGCGATGCCAACGTCCCATCATGCCACAACAATAGGGATCCTTTGTAAGGCAATTGGCGAAGTCGAGCGACACATCGGATCACTTGTCACAATGTCTCGTTCAACAAATGTACCACGGTCCACGCAGCTTGAGAGTCACACAGCCATGCGTATTGGGTGGGTTCACTTCATTATTAGCTACGCATTTTTTAAGGTACATAGATAATAACATTTCGCAGAGTACTCCTTAATAGCACAATAGTCATCACCGGATTAACTAGCGGCGACCTGAACAAATGTACAAATTATTGAAACCGAGAACCGTGATACTCCTTACAAAAGATGAGATCAGCGGCTCGCGTTGTACGACATTCAACAGTAGCCCTGTGACGCGCTACGCTGGAACTTCCTTACGAATTAAGGCAGTTCTGACCACATCGTTGGGGCACACACTTGTCAACTGTGATATCTCCTGCGTTGTGGGCTAGTCTAGTAAGACTTGCCACTATTATCGAAATCGATCGGGAGATTTATTATACCTACTTATAATATTTTTTTCAATGAAGAAATTAATTTTAAGTATTCTAACAAATGAATGACTTTATCGAGCACTTACAACGAAATCAACATAGGTTCTAAACATAGGTAGGTATGTCTAGGCACGATCGAAGTTAAGATCATTATTATTTTATTGTGGTACTAGATTTCTAAATAAAAACAAATGACAATTACAAAAAGCTGGCAGCTGCAATTTACAGAAGGTCACAATTATGTAAAATACAATAAACAAATATTCATAAGTCTGTGCATCTTAATACGAAAGTCTTGCGGTTTGTTCGACGTACGGACGACGGACGTCCGTCTGTTGTACTAGTGGCGGCGTCACCCACGGACCCACTCCATACCAGGGAGGGCTGCGTCACGCACACGTCAACGACGTGCGCGCAGGGACCTACTATGATGGTTTCTTCTTCCATCCCCCCAGCTTCACGGATCACGATAATGTTTTTAAGAATTAAATTACTAACGAGATATTGTGCAATGCACATGACAGCTGAGACAATATTTTAATCGACCACAACATAACAGTTTTTCTTTTTCTTTTTTCTTTTAAAATACGTTGCCCCACACTAGGATGTTCTCCTGTGCCGTGAGTGCGTTTACAAACATACAAGTTTGCATACACAATATCACCCAGACCAGAAACAACAATTTGTAGATCACACAAAGTGTTGTTCCGTGCGGGAATCGAACCCGCGACTCGTTGCACGGCAGTCGTTTGCCCAGCCACCACACAAACCGTGCAGTACAGTTCACTTTAATATAAGGATCGAGTGACTGCAACCGTGACTAACTCAGCTGCAGTATCAGGTTCGATTCTTAGGATCGGGAAAAGAGTTAAAAGTATTATATATATTATATATTAATAATATTGAAAATGAGAAAAACAGTAAATACTTTCGAGATGTGGTGTTGGCGGAAAATGCTCCAACCCTGGACTGCGGAGTGCACCAATATTTTCATTCTTAGGGAACTTAGCATTACCACGAGACAGTACAATCTGCCTCTACAAAATACCATCTTTCTTTGGACATGTGGCTCGTCATGATACTGACAGTTTAGAGAAGATCATCATCACGGGAAGGTCGAAAGGAAAAAAGCACGATTTTGAACTCGAAAATAATGGTGGGTGGGACCAATTCAAAAACCTCACAGGCAGGCCTGCCACTAACATCGGTTTTAAACATGCCGAAGTCACTAACTCATGGTGGGCTATCGTAAACACCTTCGAGAAGGATTCCCACACATACACGACCTTCGGTAGGTAATGAAACGAAAATGTAATTAGGCGTGACTAGGGTTGCCAAAGTTTTTACAAGAAATAGAGTAAGTATAGAGCAAGAAATAGATTAAAGGAGGTAAATAAAGAGTATCTATAAATCAGTGTAATTATTATACTAGGTTAGCCTATAGCTCGATAGGTAGGTTATTGTAGGTACGATGTCTATACCAAACTTGATACGATTCGGTCTAATACTTTTCACAACAGAAATATACAATTTTTCAAACATACTATGAAATTTGGCTGAACAAAAGCATTTTTTAAATGATCACTTCCGATGCTCTCAAGATGAAAAAAAATTTGGACCACTTAAACGGGGGCCACCCTGTGGGTATTAATATTACTTATTAGACTTTTTTCTCTGATCATGGATTTTCGCATATTACAGACTGGCATTAGTTATATAAGTAAACATTTTGTAAAATAGTTTTTTAGCGGATTCTGTTAGTGGTATAGATTGTAGAGTTCGCCTACGTGATATCTATAGAGGAGTAATACTCTAGAGTAGGTACGGTTAGCAACCCTAGACGTGACACGACTAACTCTCTTCTTCACGGACTTCCTCTCTTGATGTTAACACCATATAAATTACTGTTGTTGTTAGCTGTTCCCGCGCGGTTCAACCTCTACTCGGCTCTTGTTGTTGATCACAGCGTGACGTTTTATAGCTTTCCTCGATAAATGCCTACTACCTTCTAGAGATGATTATAAAAATGATACCTATTTATTTACTTAGCAATGTACATGTAACACATTACAACTGACGCAAATATGCAGGGCTGATGGCTGCCAGGTCGAGATAAAAGTGCTATGTTGTGCCCAGGACATTAAAGTATAATCATACAAAATTTCAATGTAATCAGACCGGTAGCTTTTGTGTGGTGCGTGACCATACAGACAGACTGACATACAGACAAAAATGTGGGTCCGGTGTCTATCTAGTAACACCCCCTACTATTTATTTATTTAATATTTTCAATGTACAGATTACGTGGATAAATCGTGGTACCAAAGCTTGGGTATGTGAAAATACATATACAAAAATATTACATACTCTAAACTTGATACAGGTAAATTAACATAAAATGGAGTTTATTATAAATATAAATAAGTAGCAACGTAATATTTTTATTATATTATTAACATACACATTAACAATTATTATAATAATATTATGTTTTATACAACACATTCAATATTTAGACGTCAAGCAACTTGCAGGTACAGTTGATTGCCGAATAACAATTACATAACATCACGCCTTTTATAGGCAGAGGTGCACATTAGGGCACTTAATGCCACTTAATGCCACTGAACAATGTAACATCCACTTTTCACTGTTTATGTTGAGTCCCTTGTAATAGGAGGCGAGCCTTTTGCCATACACCGGGCACAATTCCAGGCTCCGTGCTACTACAGAGAATTTTTAAAAAACCCAGTAGTACTTTGCCCGACCTGGGAATCGAACCCGAGACCCCTTGCCCAGCAGTCGCCCTTGCGACCACTCGGCCAAGGAGGCAGTCAATATTTTTGAATAAAAAAATATTGATTTATTTTGCAACATATCATTTTATCTTCTATTTATCTATACAGTTGATCTCTAAGCTCTCGTGAGCGTCAGATTTGCAGATGATATCGTCTTCGTGATTAAAACCGTGCATCAGGACTCACAATATATGCTGAGCAGAATGGCTTCCTCAGCATGTATCGGACTCAGGATGATCTTGGACAAAACAAAAATAATATTCAACGAACATGTTATTCCGCAGACAATTTGCCCTAAACGGGTCGCCGCTTGAAGTTGTTTAGAAGTACGTCTACCTAAGACAAACCATGCAGTTTGGTAAAAATAGCTTCGAGAAGAAGGATAGAGTTTGGCGGCACATGGAAAACTCAATCACTCAAGTTTAAGGCAAAAGTTTTCAACGAGTTCGTCCTACAAGTAATGACATAGGGAGCCGAGACGTGGACACTGACGATGCAATTAGCCCATCAATTTAAGGCGCGCAGCGAGCTAAGTATAGAGGGCGCTATGCTCGGAATCTCTTGAAGGATCGGATGCGAAACCAAGTGATCCGACAGAGATCCAAAGTTATCGACATAACCCCAAGGATTCGCAAGCTGAAGTGGCAGTGGGCCGGTCACGTTTTTTGACAATTTGAGATCTATTACCTACTGGCTTCTCGCGCGCGGTTCCACCTGCTTTTCTCGGCTCCTATTGATAGTTGAACTGATCCATTGGGGGCAGACGTGGTCTAGAGAAGAGACCGCGTCTAGGTAAACGTACTGTAGGTAGTAGTTAAATGAGAATGAGATCGAGCACAGTAGCGTGCTATTGAAAATTTGGAAAGGCTATGTCCAGCAGTGCACGAATACGGGCTGATGATGATCCAGTTTAGGATAACGTAACTATCAAATGTTTCTGGTATACTATACTTATAAATAGAACAATATGTCCGACTGTCTGGCTGACTGATTTATCATCGCTGTGGGAACACTCCCACACGGGTAAACTATTGGTGCTACAAACATGAAATTCAGATAGTATTTCACTTTTGTTATGCATGCTGGGTGCTAAGAAAAGATTTAAAAATCCGTAATTTTCGAAGTAAAATAAACAAAGTTTTTTGTGTTTCAGGAATTTTGGAACTTTTTAAGGAATGAATTAGATTGAAACTTTGTTGTATAACCAAGTTTTGCAAAGCCGCGGGAAACAGCTAGTATGATGTTGTTAATAGTTTGGCGCATGGACCGACACAATTTTTGTACCCATAAACCCATCGACTCAAATGTCATTGTCATGAGTACATAATATATATTTTTATTGATATGAAAAATTTTCCCAAAATGACTTTTTTTTCCTTTAATTTAAAATAACTTTTTTGTTTTTCGGTCTAGTGGTCCAAAATAATTATTTTGATTATGAATCAAACTTAAATTTCCAAATGTCCAAAAACGTTCTGTAACTTTAGATTTTTTTTTATTTTATTTTGTACAATACATGTAGTAACATAAAGTAAATTCATTGCATTTTGCTGTATACTCCAATGTCTATTAAAACAATTGTTTGATTCTTACTAGTTTCTAAAGTTTCATTTTTAACCGACGTCTTGGCTGCATGTTGCTTTTTGTATGTACGCGATTACTCCAGTCCAGCGTTTGTGGACGGAGTTTGATGATTATTTTTGTGTTGGAGAGCTCTCGAGGTGGTCCCATTTCCACCAGATCAAGATCTGATGATGGGATCCCATGGAAACCGAGGCGAACTTTTAAAAATTGGTAATGGTATTTGTATTGATGAGAACTTTACACCTAGATATACATTACATTTCCAAAATAAAATCTACGTCCTTTCTAGAAGATCAAACTTTGTGTGCACCAATTTCATTTAAATGAAATTCTTATTTAAGCAGTCGTTTTTATCATAGCACCTGCAATCTGTAATTTCAGTTCAATCAGTCGAAAATCTAAGAAGATTTATACAAACTTTCATTCCTTAGAGGTGAAATTTATCAAAATCCTTTCTTAGGGGATGCTTACATCATAGTAGCTTTATGCATGCAAAGTCTCAGCCCGATCGGTAGTTTCATACAAACAAATTGTTCCCGGAGGACATGGTGGAGCATTCGGTGGCGGTGTGTCTTGCGTGGGCTGAGCACCGCCGTGTCCTCAGGGATGTGATCGGCGACCTCTCGCGTCCGGCTCTGGTTCAGACCATGGTACGGAGCGAGGGGGACTGGGATGCCGTCTCCTCCTTCTGCGAAGCAGTTATGCTAGCTAAGGAAGAGGCGGAGCGCGTGACGGAACGAACCTCCTCACGCCCCGGCTGTCGCGAGAGACACTCAGGGCGTCGGGGATCGGGACACGATCTTCGGCTACCGTGACCACGGACCTGCGGACGACGAGCATGGATGACAATCGCCCGACCAGAACCAGGCCCTAGCGTACGGCGCGTCGCGTTCCGCACGCGCCAGAATCAGACCATCGAAGAGCAAAAGTAGGAACGGGGTGGGTTTCCCCCCGTCGGGAGTGTCCTCCTTTTCGCCTCACCCGAGCGAGTGAGAGAAGTCATTGGATGATTTTCCCCTTCAAAAAAAAGGGGTAGAATTGTTCAAAATCCTTTCTTAGCGAATGCCTACGTCACAACATCTACGGATTAATTGAAAAAAATGCTTTGACTTTGACTTCATCCGTCCGGAGAAGTGGACTGTGCGTTGATACTAGACCACTGTCAGTCAGCCAACCTTTGAGTTATACAATATATCCTTACTTATATATTATATATATAGAGGTATATATATTATAAATCGGAAAGTTTGTTTGTTTGTTTGTTCCGCCTTCACGCCGTAACTACTAAACCGATTGCTTTGAAATTTTGCAGAGGTAAAGTTAGTAGTCTGGATTAAATAATAGGGTACTTTTTATCCCGGAAAAATTTGATATTTCTGAGGGAAAACAAAAATAT